TTACCAACAAATGCAGTCTTTGCAGTAAAATCTAGTCAAATGCTTTGAGATGTTTCGACAACACCAGATGGCACTGTATCAAGTGTTAGTCAGTCTGTATGCTATCTATATATATTGATGAACTCTTGTAGCTCAGTGGTTAGAGCACTCGCTTTTCAAACGAGACCTGGGTTCGATTCCCAGCAGGGCGAAACTTTGGGCAACTTCCTTACTCCACACGCCTGATAATAATGCCTCAAGAAAAAAAATAATAATAATTTACTCACTCAATCCACGACTGATTGTGGGAATCCTGCTGTGCGCAATTGGCTGCCGGGTTTCACCCACAAATATACAGTCAATTCACTTTACAGTATGTTCTGTGAAGTGTTTTGAGATGTCTCAAAATGTGAAAAGCGCGATATCAAATGCAACGATTATTATGTTTATTACAAATTTAATTTTGTTTTTGTTTATTGTTTTCTTCTAGACATCTCAAAGCGCTTCACAATTAAATTTGTAAAGTGAATTGACTGTATATTTGTGGGGGAACCCGGCAGCCAATTGCGCACAGCAGGATTCCCACAATCAGTCGTGGATTGAGTGAGTAAATTATTATTATTTTTTTTCTTGAGGCATTATTATCAGGCGTGTGGAGTAAGGAAGTTGCCCAAAGTTTCGCCCTGCTGGGAATCGAACCCAGGTCTCTCGTTTGAAAAGCGAGTGCTCTAACCACTGAGCTGCATGATTCCACTTTACAAAGTGAGCGGGAGCCTGAGCAGGGAGGGAACTATTCAGCATTTAGTGCCTGTTGGAAGAGACAGCAACATGGAATTCAGGGTGGAAGTAGAATGAGTTCACAGTGAGGCAGTTTTTGAGATGTCTCGTTTTGAAATCACAAGATTGGGATTTGAGCTGGGAGAGATAGGCAACTATTTTTCCAGCAAAAAGTCCATTGCTTCCCTGTTTCTGTATCTGTCTCTCTCAGGCTGTGTGTCTGCATTTGTCTCTCTGTCTGTTTGTCTTTGTATCATTCTGTCTGTGTATCAGTATCTGTCTCTATTTTCCTATTGTTGTATCTTTGCGAGGCAGCTTCTGTGCTGTCTCACTTTGAATCCATAAGATTAGGATTTGAGCTGGGAGAGATTAGACGAGGATTGTGCAGGAGAAAGTCCATTGCTATTTGATATACCTTCACTATATCAACTATAAAAATACGTTATGTACATACATATTGTTGCATTGCGGTGGTCATTGTTCTTTCTCTCTCTGTAGCTAACCTAATGTCGATTGTGATCCTGTCTCGAGGGCAGTGCGGTCTCTCCAAATGTATCACTCACTATCTGGTGGCCATGTCAGTGGCTGATCTGATGGTGATTATCATATCAGTGATTTTCTTTCGAATTATTCCTTCTTATTTCCACATTTCATTTGTGTCCATCACACCTGTGTGTCGAGTCCTAATGGTGCTGACTTCATCAACATCGGCAATTTCTGTCTGGTTAACTGTGGCTTTTACCTTTGATCGATATGTGGCCATCTGTTGCCAAAATCTGAAAATAAAATATTGTTCCGAAAACACTTCTCGTACAGTGATAGTGATATTGAGTGTGGTTTTCTTTGTGGAAAACCTTCCCTGGGGTTTTATAGTTGAACCACTGTACATAGTTAATAATATACCATGGGGGTGCAACCCTAAAACAAGATATTTCACTTCTCGCATATGGGCAGCGTTTGATATGCTTAATCATATTTTAACCCCAATTCTCCCATTCATTAAGATTTTGCTGCTCAACGCCCTGACTGTGAGGCACATACTGGAGGCCAGTCGAGGCCGCAGGAGATTGCGGGGAAACAGTAAAGGGAACAGGAATAGAGATGCGAGTGACAGTGATCCAGAGATGAAGAACCGCAGGAAATCCATCATTTTACTCTTTGCTGTTTCCACCAGTTTCATATTATTATGGATTACATACGTTCTATATTTCTTATATTGGAGGATTTCAAAGACATATTCCTACACGAATGACCCTATGTTTATTACCTGGAAAACTGGTTACATGCTGAAGCTTTTGAGTTCCTGCACAAACACATGTATTTACGCTGACCCAGAAGAAATTCAGGGAAGAGCTTAGGAAAGTGTTGACAATTCCATTCATTCTAATTGTTAGATTATTCCATAAACTAACGGTGCTATCGACTATGTTAGATGTATAGAAATATGGAAATGGTATAAGGTCCATCAACACTCCTAGGTCAGGGTTAAAGACATAATAAAGGACCCTCTACAATGTGCGTCCACACTCTTGGGTCATGGTTGGAGAAAGAATAGAGCTCCATCTACCCTGTCCCTCTACAGTCCCGGGTAAGGTAGGGTTGGGGGGATGTTGTTAAACATGAAAATTTCTATGGTGCTTATACAATTGCTAACAATTGAAAAAATTTACCTGGTAGGTGAGGTGAAAGGGAGTCATTAAGGTTCTGATGGTGATCGTTGGCCTATGTTGTTACCTTGACCTACTTGAGAAGGGACTCTAAGCAGTTCCAGAAATCTGGGTTGCTTGAGTTGACCAAAGAAAAACACTCATGCGCCTGTTTACTTCAGGAAAGCTAAAGCTGATAATAGTGAAAACATGCATAAAGTTGCAGCATAAAATATTGTTCTTTATTACACAATAGTCGTTGAATCTATGATACTCAGACTTGTTTAAACAATCTTTATAAAGGTGAGTGGATGGTAATAGGAGGAGTCAATTGACAATCATAGAATCATAGAATGTTACGGCACAGAAGGAGCCATTCGGCCCATCGAGTCTGTGTGGCTCTTTGACGAGCAACTGACTTTTATTAACCCCACTCACCAGCTTTCTCCCCATAACCCTGCAAACCTGCCTTCTCCAGATACTTATCCAGTTCTCTCTTAAAAGCTGTTATCGAATCGGACTTCACTGCCCTTTCGGGCAGATCATTCCAAATTCTAACAACTCGCTGAGTGAAAAAATTTCTTCTAACCTCCCCTCTGCTTCTTTTGGTAGATATCTTAAGACTGTGACCACAAGTCACAGACACACCTACCAACGGAAACAGCTTTTCCCTATCTCGCCTGTCGAAACCTTTCATGATCTTGAAGACCTCTATCAGGTCCCCGCGTAACCTTCTCTGCTCTAATGGGAAAAGTCCTAACTTTTCCAGCCTGTCCTCATAGCGAAGGTTCCTCATTCCTGGTATCATTCTGGTGAATCTCCTCTGCACCCTTTCCAGTGCCTTAATATCCTTCCTGAGGTAAAGTGCCCAGACAATAAAGCTTATTTTATGGAGCTGAATGCCAGATGTCTTTACGTGGTCAATGAGACTCAACAAAAGGAGAAGAGCTGAGTTTTGGGAATGGAGTACCAAACCGCAAATAATTTGAAGGAAAGAGGGATATACTACAAGCAACATGCCGATTCTTCATCAAAGCCACTGTATTTGTTTGATTAATTGATTGCAGTGAAAATTTTTAGCTTGTCGTAAGCATTGATTTGATGGAGCTATTAATTTAGATAAGAATTTCTTTACTAATTCATATTAATAAATATCAATTGAATGAAGAATTTGATTCGGCCCTCACTTCACCAATTATCACAAATTGAATTAACTCTTACAGGATGGGTTGGTAACCAGAGGATACTGATTAAAGACAATTAGTAATATAACCCGAAGAGAGACTGGGATCATTTCTTTTACCCGGAAATATTAAGATCCAGAATGTGCTGCCTGAAAGAGTGGTGGAAAACAGATTTAATAATAGCTTTCAAAAGGGAACTGGATATGTACTAAAAATGTAAAAGCAACTGATCCAGTAACTGGTATAGGAAAGGTGGTTGGAAGTGTGATTGGATTTTGAGAACATGGATAAGTCAAGACAGGATTTCGCTTTCAATGGATGGAGAGATGTTTACCAGGGGGCAATTTGTGAATCTTGGAGTGAAGAGATGGATGATCCCGGATTGAAGAGCCCATGCTGGATTTTATGTAGGAGATTGTGGAGGAAAGAAATGATGGAGAAACGGGTTGAATGTATGTGAGGCTTGGGGTAGTGGGGGCAGCTGCAACTTGAAAGTGGGAGACGATGGCAGTGGCAGAGGCAGCAGAGCAGATCCTCTTGATATTCGGCATGAGGAAATCTATCATCTCTTAGCATTTGGAATTGTAGGAGTGGATGTGTGAGACAAAGGAAATGGGTCCGGGAGGTTGTTGTTTCTGGGAAAGAAGAGCTTGGAATTGTCTTAGTCTCCAGGATGATGTGGAACAGAGGAACTTTGTGATTAAGGCAGTGGTAGAGCAGTAGGTGGACCGTGATCGTGGATTTCAGTCAGAATACTTAATTTGCCACCCAGACTGCCCCATCCTCAACCTTCACTGCAAGGCCCATCGGTCCCTGACCTTGGGGGTCAAACTTTCCTCGTTTAACCTAATTGTCACCATCCTTGTCAATTCTCCCCTTCCTCACTCTCATCTCGCTCCACCACAAGCTTCCACCATATTACCCCCATGGTAGCGGTTTGGCTCCCATCTCCCGGTCCCCTCTCGTCCTATCCCCTTACTCCTCCCGAACCTTCCCCTCCTTTGAGCACCTTACCCACTACCATCCCCCCAAACTTTCCCTTAAAATTCTTTCTTTTATCATTTGCCCCACAGCATTCCCCAACTTCCTCTCTGTCATCTCCCCTCCTAGTTTCCCTCTGCCTCTGGTCTGAATATTCTTGGCCACCCATTTGACCTGGTGATTACCCAGGGCCCCAGTGTCTCTGATATCATAATCGCAGCTCCCACCTCCGATCACCATTTATATCCTTTATCTCTTCAATCCCTCACTTCAACACCGCCAACCCTACCTCCATCTCCTACGGGCCCTGGAAAAAATCTCCACACAATACCTCTCCGCTGCGCTTAATCTCTATTTGGGGATGGGGATTATCTGTATCTTTCTCACATGAGAGAATAGCAAATTCACGAAAAATTCAAAGTATTCCATTTTGATTGTTTGAATATTACTTAAAGAATTTATTGCATCATTACAGTAAACTTGTACCTGGACAGAGCCTCACCCCCACGGTAGCAGTGTGACAAATGCACAAATCAATGTCCCTCTCCCTCGCGCCTCAGCTTCCCTCTCTCTCACCCCACACAGACATGAACATCCCTATCCCACACTCAACTCACCACTCCCCCCATATTAATATCCCCCCCCACAAGCTCTTCACCTCTCCTCTCACACACATTGAAATCCCTCTCCACACCCCTCTCCCCACACACAGATTAATATCCGTCTCCCACACAGTGGACTTCCTTTCTGCCCCCCAAAGCAATATCCCTCCACGTTCCCTGCACATTGATATCCCTTTCCCACCCCCACGACAAGCAGAGCAGCTAAGCAGTTAGAGCCAATCCTCACAAGCGAAGCTATCCCAGTGACACGTGCACAAAACACATCTCTGGTTAATGCAGCAATCAGTGACTCTCTGCCTGGAATATCGTGAAACTGTCTGTATAAAGACCCTCATCAACCCACAATCACAACATAATAACTGACCATATCTGGAGAACCATATAGAAGTGTCAGATTATCTGCTTCAAAGGTAAATAAAGCAACAAAATTACATTGATATATTGGCACTTTTTTACGGTCTCTTTCCTGTGTGTGATCGATGGTGTATATGGAGATACCCCGACGTTTTGAAACTCTTACCACATTCGGCACATTTATATGGTCTCTCTTGTGTGTGTGATCGTTGGTGCTTTTGGAGATCCCCTGATGTTGCGAAAGTCTTCCCACATTCGGCACAATTATATGGTCTCTCTCCTGTGTGTAATCGCTGGTGTACTGTGAGGTGCCCTGACTGCGTGAAACTCTTTCCACATTCGGGGCATTTATATGGTCTCTCTCCTGTGTGTGATCGCTGGTGTACCTTGAGGTTCCTTGATGTTTTGAAACTATTCCCACACTCGGTGCATGGATATGGTCTCTCTCCTGTGTGTGATCGCTGGTGTTCCGTTAAGCTGCCTGACTGTCTGAAACTCTTTCCACATTTGGCACATTTATATGGTTTCTCTCCTGTGTGTAATCGCTGGTGCTCCTTGAGTTGTCCTGAACTTATGAAACGCTTACCACATTTGGCACATCGATATGGTCTCTCTCCTGTATGTGATCGATAGTGTATCTGGAGATACCCCGAAGTTGTGAAACTCTTCCCACATTCAGCACACTGATACGGTTTCTCTCCTGTGTGTGATCGTTGGTGCTTTTGGAGATCCCCTGATGTTGTGAAACTCTTCCCACATTCGGCACAATTATATGGTCTCTCTCCTGTGTGTGATCGCTGGTGTACTTTGAGGTGCCATGACTGTGTGAAATTCTTTCCACATTCGGGGCATTTATATGGCTTCTCTCCTGTGTGTAATCGCAGGTGAACCTCGAGTTTCCATGAATTTATGAAACTCTTTCCGCATTTGGAACATCGATACCTCCTCTTTTCTTTATGTAATTGCTGGTGTGTCTTGTGGTGCCCTGACTGTGTGAAACTCTTCCCACTTTTGACACATCGATTCGGTTTCTCTACTAAGATCTGGTGATTCTGCAGAGATTCCGTGTGCACAGACCCCTTTTCTCCAATTGTATATGTGATAGATCTCTGACAATCTCTCTGCAGTGAAGATACATTGATGCTATAAGCAGATTGAGTTCTTAACGTGTCTGGGCGGAACTTGGCATGTCTAATCCTGTGTTTCTGATGGAACTCTGAAGGATGAGCCTCAGAATCATCCACATTGGGTGCTGATGGGAGAAAAGAGATTTGTATCAGCAACAAATTAGACCTTCATTAGGAATTGCTGCTGGAACAATTTGAATTAATCTGTGCATATGGCAACTGATCAAGTGAAAACACTTTATATGGCTTACAGTATTTACTGCTAAGTGTTGTGACAACAATAACTCATTTTTTACAACCCTCCATTCTATTTTCATCAGTGTCAGTTTCTGTCTGCAGTCACTTTCCCCAAACAGTCGTGAGATGGGTGAGTGATCAGTGTAGAGGACGACAAGCCAGGATACTGGAAGAAACTTTGATTTTGGTGCTGGGAATGTGTTCCATTGTCGGATGTGCTGTCCTTCAGATGAGATGTTAAACCGAGCTCCCTGTCCATGTCTGTTCAGGTGGACATTCATACCATGACACTATTCCAAAAAAGAAGGGAATTTTTCACTCTCACCACATTGTCCTGACTGACAATAACCCAAATAAAATTTGACAGTGAGCTCATGGATATTTGGGGGACATTGCTATGAGCAAATTGACTGCTGCTGTTACTGCACTTTGCAGTAAATTCATGCAGAGCATTTTGGGACATCTTGATGACATGATAAGGTGCTACATCAGACTTCCATTAGGATTTTTAACGTCTGTCTGAAGAAGCAGAGGGAATTTAGGTTAATAGTTTGCGTCTATGACAATGCAACACCGCCTCTCTTGCCCTACCCGCCCCAGTAACTGGGCAGTGAGTAGCCTGGACTGTGAGCTCAAAGTCGTGACGTGTGTCTTGAACCCACATCTCAAAGACCAGTACATAGCTCACAAGAGCAAGACTAATACCATAAACTTTTAAAATGACCATTTTGAGCATTCACAGACACAACTTATGAAAGTGATCAACACTTAAAGATAAAATAATCTCCCACAATGTGGTGAAACTCACAATGTGTGATCGCAACCTTATAAAAATAACAATAAAAAATCCTTATATTTTGTATATAACCCCAATTAAAGTCAAGCTACTCAAAGTACTCAAACTGCAGCTANTTTTTGGAAGTCTGACTCAGCAGGAAATTGAAACCCATAACCGTGCTTTACATTGGTCAGAGCAGTCAGGGACCAACCTTGCTTTACATTGGTCAGTTAGTGGGACTATCAAACTTATTTCTTTCCTTTCTCACCTTTTTCCTTCCCCTCTCTCTCTCTCTCTCTCTCTCTCTTAACCTCTCAAACCCTCTTGAATCCAGTGATATGTCTCTTTCCAATTAAGTGCCAAGTTCGCAGCCTCAGACTCTCTCACGCCCCTGCTCTGTTCCCCTCAGCTCAGCTGCATTCCAGAGGGTGGCCTGAACATCACCGCTGACTCTCTGATCGCCCACTCCTAGTCTCGACATTCGCGTTTGGTTACCATTACTGACCATTCTCCCAAAGACCCCATCCCTGACCAGAGCTGCCATTCTCCCAAGGTTCTCATCCCAGACTAGAGCTGCCATTCTCCCAAAGACCTCTGTTAAAGCCAGGACACCTCTTTCAATGCGGCGTTCCCTCCCCCATTGTCAGCCCAGACTGTGATTTCATTGTTCTTGATGAGGGGTCTCCAAACCACAACCATCAAACTCAGTCAGACGGTAAGCAACTGAGCCAGGCTGACATCTGCCCAATTCTCCACTGAAGCATTTTTTGCTGAGAAACTCAGATTGATTTTTCACTTACACAGATAGTCATCCTCAGGAAGATCCCTTTCCTCAGTGTAAGTTCTTCTCTCCCTCTTTCTCAAACTGTATCTGCTGTTCCTGGACCCTCCCCCACTCGCTTGATTGTATTTGGACAAATCCTTTCCGGTTCGCCAACCTGTGGAGTAAATTTTAATAAAAGAGTAGGATTGAGAATTATAGTATACACAGACACTGAAAGCTCTAACAGCCTGAGAGATTGTGGAGATCTGTACACAGTACATAATATTGTACCGTTGCATATTGTTGCATATTCAACTTGATTTCATAAGTCAATAGCCACTGAATGCAAGTACACATTGTATTTAAAGACTATCTTAAGCAAATAAAGTAGCGACTAAGCTACAGATAAATTAAACAGCAATTAGTTACCTTTCCCTGTGATGGTTCACACTCGATGTTGCTGGCTTCTGCTTCCTTAGGCAATATCTGCTGCCTAATGTTGGAAGCATGGACTTATACTTGATTTGTTGCTTTGTGTAAAGCCCAACTAATCAAATAAGCATATACACTTTAGGGTTTAAAGCTGATTCGCCTGTTGGCATAGGGGTGTGTTTATCAGCAGTACTCAAACCCAAATGATGTCTCCATGTGATAAGAGCCAAATTCACATCATAGAAATCATAGAATTGTACAGCACAAAAAGAGGCCATTCAGCCCATCGAGTCTGTGCCGGCTCTTTGAAAAGAGCAACGTAATATCAATCTCAATCCCCAGCCCTTTCCCCATAACCCTGCAAACCCGTCCTCCTCAAATACCATCCACCGCGTATTTAAAAGTTGTTATTGAATCGCCCTCGACCGCCCTTTCAGGCAATGCGTTCCAGGTTCGAACAACTCGCTGCTTGAAAAAAATTCTTCTCACTTCCTCTCTGCTTCTTAGAAACTATTTAAAATCTTTGACCTCGAGTCACCGATGCACCCATCAGTGGAAAGTTTTTCCCTTTCAAACCTATCAAGTTCCCTTATGATTTTGAAAACCTCTATTAGGTCTCCTTGTAATCTTCTCTGCTCCAATGAGAATAATCCCGGCCCCTCCAGCCTTTCCTCATAATCAAGGTCCCTCATTCCTGGTACCATCCTTGTAAATCTCCTCTACACCTTTTCCAATGCCTTAACATCCTTCCTATAGTGCAATGCCCAGAACTGGGCGCAGATTTCTGTGTTTTATATATGTTAATCATAACCTCCTGACTCTTGTACTCTGTGCCCCTATTTATAAAGCCTAGTATCCCATATGCCCTTTTTACAGCTTTATCTACCTGTCCTGCCACCTTCAAGGATTCATTTACCTGCACCCCCAGGTCTCTCTGCTCTTTTACCCCCCCTTAAGATTGTATGACCAGCCTATATGGCCTCCCCTCATTCTTTCTTCCAAAATGCCTTACCTCACATTTCTCCACATTGAAACTCATCTGCCATGTGTCTGCCCATTTTACAATTCTGTCTATGTCTTCCTGCAGTCGGCTCCTATCCTTCTCACTGTTTACTGCCCTACCTAACTTTGTGTCGCCCGTAAACTTGGAAATGGTGCTTGCTATACCCAAGTGCAGATCATTTATATATATTAAGAGCAGTGGTCCTAATACCGATCCCTGGGAAACACCACTGTACACTTCCCTCCAGTCAGTAAAGCAGCCGTTCACAACTCTCTGCTTTCTGTCTCCCAGCCAGTTCTGAATAATGCTGCCACTGTCCCTTTTATACCATGGGCTTCTATCTTTCTTACAAGTCTTTCATGTGGCACTTTGTCAAATGCCTTTTGAAAGTCCACATAAACTACATCAACTGCACTACCTTTATCCACCCTCTCCGTTACCTCATCGAAAAATTCTATTAGATTTGTTAGACAAGATTTGCCTCTAACAAATCCATGTTGGCTGTCCCTATTTAACCCATATTCTTCTAAGTGAAGATTTATTCTTTCCCGGATTATAGTCTCCAGGAGTTTCCCCACTCCTGATGTTAGGCTGACTGACCTGTAGTTACCAGGTTTATTCTTCTGCCTCTTTTTGTACAGGGGAGTCACATTGGCCACTCTCCAGTCCTCTAGCACCACTGTGTCCAACGAAGATTGAAAAATTGTGTCAAAGCCTCCACTATTTGTACCCGTGCCTCCCATAGTAACCTTGGCTGCATCTCGTCCGGACCGGGCATCTTTTCTATCTTGAACCCAGTCAACCTTTTCAGCACATCCTCTCTGTTTATACCTACCCAATCCATTTCCTCCACCCTTTCCTCCGATATTGCGGCATTTGGTGCATCCACTCCTTTTGTGAAGACAGATGAAAAGTACTCATTCAGTACATCTGCCTCCACAATAAGATTTCCGCCTTGGTCCTTAATTGGCCCCACCCTAACTTTAACTAACCTTTTTTTCTTGATATGTTCGTAAAATATTTTAGGATTCCCTTTCATGTTATCCGCTAACCTTTTTTTGTATTATCTTTTTGCTCCTCTTATTTCCTTTTTCAGTTCTGTTCTATTCTTCCTATATTCTGTTTGGTTGCCTTCTGTATCTTGGGCTTGACATTTGTCATATGCCTCCTATTTCTGCTTCATTCTAGCCACAATTACCATCATCATCCAGGGAGGTTTGGATGCCCTACTTTTCCCTTTAGTAGGAATGTATTTGTTCTGTACCCATCTCATGCTTGAAGACTCACTGCTCTTTAGTTGTTTTACCTGCCAATCCTCGTTTCCAGTCCACCTTGGCTAGGTCCCTTTTTAACTCCCTGAAATTAGCCCTCTTCAGCCCAGTCCAAGACGCGTTGCTGGAATATCCTATTGTGACCCTGCCAGAGTATCCTATTGTGACCCTGGCGAAGGGGCTGCTAGTTAAAAGTAGTAAAGTGATACGCACATTCACCTATCCATACATGACACACCTTCCTTCTTGTACCCACTGGGTTAATCTTATATGATTTTATTAGTGGTAGACTTTTCTTAAGATAGTATTCGCAATTGGGATGCTATGACTTCCTCATAAATTAGTGTTGTGAGCCGGGCGGTATAATCCCGATTCTGATACTCATCTGTGAACATTTTTGTTAACCATATTGACTCTTAAGTGCATCCCTGTTTTAATCGGGTGTCGTTGAACCTGGAAATCCTAACTGTGTAACCTTTAACCAAATATTGTACTGATCAGTATATTTTCAAGTACATTCGGAAACATAATAAACTCTGTTAAACAACCATCGGTCTCCAAGTCTTGAGAGTATCGATTCTAAGTAGCCCTGCGAGAGTTATCACCCTGACCTGGGAGTGTGGATGCACAGTGTAGAGGGAGCTTTACTGTGTCTCTAACCCTGACCTGGGACTGTGGATGCACAGTGAGACTAAGACAGACTGAGACAGGAAGAGATAGGGGGAGAGAGGGAGAGAGAGACACAGAGAGAGATGGAGAGAGAGTGTGTGAGAGAGACATAGAGTCTGAGAAACATTCTGTTTCTTCTAATTGAAAAATGAGATTAATGATAGAATTGGAAGGCAGAGTCAGCAGTAGCAACACTAACAACAATGTTACATTTCTATAGCTCCTTTCACATCGGGAGTACGTCCCAAGGACCTGGACAATCAGTGTTTTGGACCCGAGCTGGGGGTTGGGATTGGGGAGGATGCCGGAAGGAAGAAGGGTGACCGAAGGCATGGTCAAAGAGGAGGGTCTTGAGATGAGTTTCAAAGAAGGCAAGGGAGGGGATGAAGTGGAGGGTCTGCGGGATGGATTTCCAGATGGGGGCAGAGTGGCTGAAGGCCATACCGACAATGGTAGGACAGGGGAAGGTGGAGCAGTCCACAGCCTACTGAGAGCAGGGAGTGGGCAGGTTGATCGGGGGTTACGAGGTCGCAAAGGTAGAGGTCATGAAGAGTTTTGAAGGTGACGACCAGGATTTGAACTGTATCCACTGTGTGATGGGAAACCAACGGAGTCGAGTGAGGATGGGGATGATAGGGTCATGGACACTCGTTTGGGAGAGGACACAGGCTATAGAATTCTGAATTATTTGCAGCCTATGGAGGGAAGAGTTGGGGAGTCCGACAAGCAGGGAATTTGCAGTTGAGCCTGGATGTTATAAAGCGTGTATGAGAGTCTCAGTGGGCTGCGGTGTGAGACAGTAGCAGAGCCAAGCAATGTTGCAGAGTTGGGGGAAGGCAGAGTGGGTCATGGCACAGATATGGGGTAGAAAGCATAGCTGGGGGTTAAACAAGACGCCAAGGTTCCGGACTGGCTTAGAAAGGTGGAGTGTGCAGCCTTGGATGGTGATGCTGTCAGCAGTGTGGAGGCACTGAAGGAACCAATCAGGAGAGCCTCGGTTTTGTTGAGGTTCAACTATAGGAAGTTAGCTCTCATCCAAGACTTGATATCTCACAGACATTCTGTCAGGGCATCAGTGGTCCTGGAGTTGAGGGTCGAGGCAAAGCGAGAGTTGGGTGTCATCCGCATACACATGGAAGTTAACCCCAGGCAGAGGGAGCCTTGGTCGCAGATGGACAGAATGTGTCACTTTGATCATGCCTGTTTCTGTGCTGTGAGCGGCACGGAAACTCAATTGGAGGGGTTCGTGAAGGGAGTGGCGGGAGAGGAAGGAGTGAAGTTGGGAAGCAACATGTTCCAGGATCTTGGAAAGGAAATGGGGGTTGGAGATGTGGCGGTAGTTTGATAGCAGGGTTGAATCCAGGGAGGGTTGAAGGATAGGAGTGATGACAGCCATTTTTAAAGATGTGGGAACGGTACCAGGTGGACAGTCACAGGTTTATGTCTGCGAATAGGGAGGAAAGGAGGTACAGCTGGGAGGAGGGGTAGGGATGGAGTTGAGGAAGCAGATGGTGGGTTTCGTGCCGCTTATAGTGGTGGTGAGAGAGGAGAAGACAGGTTCGAAGGTGTGGAGGGAGGAATGGGTAAGAGCAGAGGTGTAACGGCGTAGTGGTCTTCTGAGCAGGGGCAGCTGATGGGATCCCCTCGACTTTGGTCAAAGACATAATAGGACAAATCTTTCTGAGCTCAATCTTTCTGTGTAGCTTTTTGCAGGAAAAATACCTTTCTTAGATGTTTTGAGATTTTCATTGTCACCAAATGACACCCCTTCTATTTTGACCAGACTGCTCTTTTCATTTGCTGAACCCGTGGCTTCAGTTACATTTCTTGTGTGGTCACCTGCAGCCTCAGCTGATCCTGACAGGATATGGGAGCTCTGCTTTTTGCTCTGAAATGCAGAAGATAAGAACATTATAAGCAAGTGTCAGTCTGGCTCAGTCTGGCCTCTGAGTCAGAAGGTTGGGGGTTCAAGCCCCACATCGGGACTTGGAACCCATATAGTCTAAGCTGACACTCCCAAAGCGAAGCTGGGGATGAACGGAATTGTTGGAGCTACCATACTTTGGATGAGGTCCCATTTAGGTGGCCACGTGCAGTGCTCCTCCCGATGTGAAAGGCAAATCTACTAGGATGATCCTAGGGGGACAGGTTATTGCTATCAGAATAGACTGGATACATTAGGCCTTTCTTCACTAGAGAAGAGAATTTCAAGCGAGGCCCTAATAGAGGGGTTTAACATTATACAATGGTTTCATAAGGCTAGCAGATATAGGTCTGACTTGTGGGAAATTTGTAATCAGGGGACACAATTATAAGATAAAGGCAGTATACACCTTAGACTGTATAGCGATTATTAGACTGGCAAAACAACAGCACAAAGGGCAAGGAGGGGAAAATATTCGAAAATGCATACAGGACAACATTCTTGATCAGTACGTTTCCAGTCCAACAAGGAAGGAAGCAGTGCTAGATCTAGTTTTGGGGAATGAAGTAGGGGAAGTGGAGCACGTTTCAGTAGGAGAGCATCTGGGCAATAGTGGGAATTCATTAGATTCAGAGTGCATACTGAAAGAGACAAGGAACCATCTAAAGTGAAGATATTCAACTGGAAGAGGGCAAATTTCAGTGAGTTAAAAAGAGACCTAACCTGGACTGGAAAGAAAGATTGGCAGGTAAAACAACTAAAGAGCAGTGGGAAGGATGAGATAGCTCGGGGAAAAAATAAATACATTCCCACAAAAGGGAAAAGTAGGGCATCCAAACCTCCCTGGATGACGAAGGTAATTGTATCTAGAATGAAGCAGAAAAAGCAGGCGTGTGACAAATATCAAACCTAAGATACAGAAGACAACCAAATCGAATATAGGAAGTGCAGAAGAGGTTTGAAAAAGGAAATAAGAGGGGCAAAAGATTATACGAAAGAAGGTTAACGGGTAACATTAAAGGGAATTCTAAGGGAATTCTAAAATATCAAACATATCAAGAAAAAAAGGCTAGTCAAAGGTAGTGTGGGGCCAATCAAGGACCAAGGCGGAAATCTTATTGTGGACGCAGAGGGCATGGCTGATGTGCTGAATAAGTACTTTGCATCTGTCTTCACAAAAAAAGTGGATGCACTAAATGCCGCAGGAGAGGGTAGAGGAAATGGATAGGATAAGAATAAACAGAGAGGAAGTACTGAAAAGGTTAACTGCGCTGAAGGTAGATAAGTCGACGGTCCGGATGGGATGCATCCAAGATTACTATGGGAGGCACGGGTAGAAATAGCAGAGGCTTTGGCTACAATTTTTCAATCTTCATTGGACACTGGAGTGGTGCCGGAGGCCTGGAGAGTGGCCAATGTGACTCCCCTGTACAAAAAGGCACAGAAGGACAAACCTGGGAATTACAGGCCAGTCAGCCTCACAACAGTAGTGGGGAAACTCCTGGAGACTATAATCCAGGACAGAATAAATCCTCACTTAGAAGAGTATGGGTTAATTAGGGACAGCCAACATGGATTTGTTAGCGGCAAATCTTGTCTAACAAATCTAATAGAATTTTTCGATGAGGTAACGGAGAGGGTGGATAAAGGTAGTGCAGTTGATGTAGTTTATGTGGACCTTCAAAAGGCATTTGACAAAGTGCCACATGAAAGACTTGTAAGATAGAAGCCCATGGTATAAAAGGGACAGTGGCAGCATTGACCCAGAACGGGCTGGGAGACAGAAAGCAGAGAGTTGTGGTGAACGGCTGCTTTTCTGACTGGAGGGAAGTGTACAGCGTCCCCCAGGGATCGGTATTAGGACCACTGCCCTTCTTAATATACATAATGATCCGTACTTGGGTATAGCAAGTACCAATTCCAAGTTTGCGGATGACACAAAGTTAGGTAGGGCAGTAAACAGTGAGAAGGATAGGAGCCAACTGCAGGAAGACATAGACAGAATGGTAAAATGGGTGACACATGGCAGATGAGTTTCAATGTGGAGAAATGTGAGGTAATGTATTTTGGTAGAAAGAATGAGGGGAGGCCATATAGGCTGGTCATACAATCTTAAGGGGGGTAAAAGAGCAGAGAGACCTGGGGGTGCAGGTAAATGAATCCTTGAAGGTGGCAGGACAGGGAGATAAAGCTGTAAAAAGGGCATATGGGATACTAAGCTTTATAAATAGGGGCATAGAGTATACAAGAGTCAGGAAGTTATGATTAACCTATATAAAACACTGGTTAGGCCTCAGTTAGAATACTGCGCCCAGTTCTGGGTACCACACTATAGGAAGGATGTTACGGCATTGGAAAGGGTGCAGAGGAGATTTACGAGGATGGTACCAGGAATGAGGGACCTTGATTATGAGGAAAGGCTGGAGAGGTTAGGATTATTCTCATTGGAGCAGAGAAGGTTACGAGGAGACCTAATAGAGATCTTGAAAATCATGAGGGGATTTGATAGGTTAGAAAGGGAAAAACTGTTGGGCGTGTCGGTGACTCAAGGTCACAGATTCAAAATAGTCTCTAAAAGAAGCCGAGGGGAGGTGAGAAGAAATTTCTTCACGCAGCGAGTTGTTCGAATCTGGAACACATCGCCTGAAAGGGTGGTCGAGGCCGATTTGATAACGACTTTTAAAAACACGGTAGACGGGTATTTGAGGAGGACGGGTTTGTAGGGTTGTGGGGAAAGGGCTGGAGAGTGGGACTGACATTAATTGCTCTATTCAAAGAGCTGGCACAAACTCGATGGGCTGAATGGCCTTTTTGTGCTGTACAATTCTATGATTCTATGATACACAATTGTAATTTGTTGTTATAGCTATGGGATGTAAATGAGATGCATTTTAGAGGAAGTGAGATAGACACATCAGAAAGATGGGAATAGAAGGGAGGGAGTGAGGAGAGAGAAGGGAGTGGATGGAGAGTGGAACATGTGGAGCAAACAGTAGGATGGACCAGCTGGGCCGAACGACCTGTTTCCATGCTGGAAATCAATGTAAACAACCTGTTTCCATGCTGGAAATCAATGTAAAGTGAATTTAATATTGAGCTAGTTACCCCCTTGTTTTTCTCCCTCGCTGGCTCCCTCTTCCTGGCTTCCATCCTGAATGCAGGCTTGAAGGATTTCACTTCTGAGAGGTAGACAAGAAGGACAGCTCATATCAAGGGCAAAAAATTGTCTCCCCATCACACCAGCCCTCGACAGACTCCATTGGCTCCCACTTACCCAACGGATCGATTTCAAGACCCTGCCACTAGTTTTATAGAATGATAGAATTATAGAATGTTACGGCACAGAAGGAGGCCATTCGGCCCATCGAGTCTGTGCGGCTCTTTGTCAGAGCAACTGACTTTTATTAACCCCACTCAGCAGCTTTCTCCCCATAACTCTGCAAACCTGTCTTCCCCAGATACCTGTCCAGTTCTCTCTTAAAAGCTGTCATCCAATTTGACTTCACTGCCCTTCCGGGCAGATCATTCCAAATTCGAACAACTTCTTCTAACCTCCCTTCTGCTTCTTTTGGTAGATATCTTAAGACTGTGACCACGAGTCACAGACGAGTCACTACCAGCGGAAACAGCTTTTCCCTATCTCGCATGTCAAAACCTTTCATGATCTTGAAGACCTCTATCAGGTCCCCACGTAACCTTCTCTGCTCTAATGGGAAAAGTCCTAACTTCTCCACTGTCCTCATAGCTAAGCTTCCCCATTCCTGGTATCATTCTCGTGAATCTCCTCTGCAGTGCCCTAATATCCTTCCTGAGGTAAGGTGCCCAGAACTGGACGCAGTACTCCAGCTGAGGCCTAACCAGTGTTTTGTACAGATTAACCATAACCCCTACTCTTATACTCTATGCCCCTACTAATGAAGCTCAGTACACCAAATGCCCTTTTCTGCCCTATCTACCTGCTCTGCCACCTTCAATGAATCGCTTACTTGAACGCCCAGATCTCTCTGTACGTTCACCCCCCTTAAGATTGAGCTACCAAGCCTATATTGCCTCCTATCATTTTTCCTACCTAAGTGTATCACCTCACACTTATCTACATTGAAATCCATCTGCCACATGTCAGCCCATTCCACCATTCTGTGTATATCTGCCTGCAGTCCGTCACAATCTTCTTCACTATTTACTACCCTACCTAACTTGGTATCATCTGCAAACTTGGAAATAGTGCTTCCTGTGCCCAAGTCCAGATCATTAATATACATTAGAAAGAGCAGTGGTCCCAATACCGATCCCTGGGGGACACCGTTGCACACCTCCTTCCATTGTGAGAAACACCCATTAACCACCACCCTCTGCTCTCTGTCACTCAGACAGTTCCTAATCCAAACGGCTACTGTCCCCTTAATACCGTGGGCTTCCAGTTTTTTTTTATTAACCTCTTATGCAGTACTGTGTCAAAAGCCTTTTTAAAATCCATGTAAATAATGTTCACCGCATTTCCCTCATTTCCCTCGCAGTCACCTCTTCAAAAAATTCTACTAGATTTCTTAGGCAAAATTTGCCTTTAACAAATCCACGTTGGCTGTCTCTAATTACCTCGTGTTCCTCTAAGTAGAGATTTATTTTGTCCCGGATTATGGTCTCCAGTAGCTTTCCTATTACCGAAGTTAGGCTGACTGGCCTGTAATGTCCGGGCTCGTCTTTCTGCCCCTTTTTGTAGAGTGGGGTAACATTAGCCACTCTCCAGTCTCTTGGTACCATTCCTGTGTCCAATGACGATTGAAATATAATGGCCAAAGCCTCCGCTATTTGAACCCGTATCTCCCACAGCAACCTTGGCTGAAACCCATCTGGTCCTGGTGACTTATCAATTTTGAGCCCAGTCAATGTTTTGAGCCCAGAGATGTTTTCAAATCCCTTCCTGCCCTCGCACCTCCCTATCTATCCACTTTGCTTACTCCCCACTCCGCTCATCTGGCTCCGGCCTCCTGTTCGTCCCTCAGCCCCTCCACCATCAGTAGCCATGCCTTTAGCAACTACGCCCCGAAGCTCTGGAACTCTCCCCCTCAACCCCTCCATGTTACCCCCTCCCTCCTCTCTTTTAAACCCGATTAAAGACAGTCCTTTTTGAGCGTCAACTCCACACACCCTCCTCCGCTGGCTCAGGGTCAAGCGCTACAGGACACTACCACACATGAAGGACGCTATATAGATGTTGTTGTTAATGCCCCGCACAGCCCGTGAATCCCCCGCACCGTCCGCGAATGCCGCACACCCATTAATACCGCACACCCCATGAATACCGCACACCCCATTGAGACCACGCAGCTCCCACCACATTAACACCACAGGATTTCGATTCCCATTTCATCCACAGGCCTGTTTCCCACATCACTAACATACACACGCCACGTGCCTCCCCTTTAAGGCAGGATTGCTCTTCTCACAACTTAAAGGTATAAAAATAACAATCCTGGCATTCGATACAGCGCCATATCACACAATTTACTGCAAATTGTAGTGACTGTGAGTTTAATGAATGAAACGCGGCAGCCAATAGCACACAGCGGTGCCGCACAAACAGTGGCCATTGAGTGAGCAGTTTATTATTTTTCGAAGGGATTATTAACCCCAGAAAGTGATCCCCCAATCGACCGGAAACCGGGTTCCTCCTGACCGCTGGTAATCAGAGCGCGTGGGGTGAGGACACTCACCCAGTGTTGTGCTCTGTTGGCATCAAACCCTGGTCCTCTGGCTTGTGAGGCGAGAGCTCGAACCACCACCGTATACCCTGAGAAGCGCTTTGAGACGTCTCAACGCGGAGAGAAGGCGCCGTGTGTGTGTGTGTGTATTTTCCAGGATTATTATTATGACAATGAGCCAAACTCGGAGCCACGTGTCGTTTGGAGATGTACAAAGGTGTAGAGAGAGAGAGAGGCGGTCCCCCCCACAGCTGCAGCTCACACCGTCACACACGCTCTCACACTCTCTCTCTGACCGCATCAAACATCAGCGCCGGGTTGTCCGGCCGCTCGGGGCCGCTCCCTCTTCAGCTGATCACCGCCTCCGCCATGTCTGAGCTTCTTGTCTTCCTCCAACCGTCACTGTCTCCCCGCCCACTCGCTTCCCATTGGTCTCTCTGAACCCCCGCCCCCTCTGTCAGAGCTTCCCAGTGGTCCGCCGAGTCGTCAATCACATACCGGGCTCTGATAGGTTTGTGTCCACGTCAATCAATTCAACCTGATCAACAACTCGCGCTTCCTGTCCAACTGTCACTCTATCGCCGCCCTCTCCCTCCTCATTGGTCTTTTTAAACATTTCTCATCTCTGTATGGTCAGCGCGCCTGTCAATCATCTTTCTCTCGTCATTCTTGTTCCTCCCCTTACTACCCGCCCACTTACTCACCAATGGCCATTTATAACACCCGTCCCCATAGTTACAGCTTTCCATTGGTCAAAGCAGCTGTCAGTCAGTCATACTCGCTCTCCAAACCTATCTCGAAGTTCCATTGGCTCTTTACAATGTCCGGCCCCTCACTGCGAGCTTCCCATTGGTCAAGGCTGCTGGCAATTATCTTCGAAATTGACCATCACCCGCCTCCCCACACACTCGCTTCCCATTGGTCAGTCTCACCAATCCCGAGCTTTCCATTGGTTCAGGCTGTCAGCAACTTCCGCGCTCTCATTGGCCCTTTGATGTCTTCTCTCCTCCCAGTCTCGCGCTCTCCCGTCCACCGCTCCCCATTGGCTCATTCATTCAGTCAAAGTTTCCTATTGGCCGTCAATCATCCGGAGTCGCGCTCTGATTGGCCACAGATAACTAGTTACTGATCCTGACCCCATTACAACAACTTCTGGCTGGGAAGTCCCGGTGCGCTTGACAATGGCGGACGCTGAGCCGGGGGGGAGGTGACCGTAAACACAACCAAAACGTTGGTGCCCAATGTCAATGCCGATCTCAGTGCAGACTCTATCTGTAGAACGGGTGGCCTCAGAGTAAGGGTTTGTTGTTAGCAGAGGGTGAGGCCTGAATATAATAACAATAATCCTTGCCTTTGCTACAACGCCTTACCATGTTGTTCAGACGTCTCAAAGCACATCACAGGGTATACAGTGTAGTGACTGTGTATTTTGGGGGTGAAACACGGAAGTGAATAGCGCAGGGCGGACCCCACAAACAGTCATGCGTCAAGTGACCAGATTATTATTATTTTTGAAGGTTTATTACCCACAGAAACTGATCCCCCAATTGACTGTCAAGGGGGGGTTTCTACTTCCTGCTGGTAAACAACGGCACGTGTGTGTATGTGTGTGGGGGGAGTAAGGAAACTTGCCGGAGGTTGCGCCCTGACCGGCCCGGGAATTGAACCCAGGTCCTCCAGGCTCACTCCTCCAATGTGGGGTTCAGCCCCACGCGAGGCTCTAACCACTGAGCAACACGACTTGCGCGGCGAGACCACGTGATGAAGAGATTCGTGGGGGTGGGGCGGCAATGATGACGTAGCAGGAGGCTCACGTGATCAGAGACACACAGAGCCGCGCGCGAGAGAGCGCGATGACTGTTCGGAGCCTCGGAGCCACGTGGCTGCCGACTCGCGATGTGACGCGCTGCAGTGGGGGGGGGGGCGAGCGCTGCTCACGGAAGCCTTGGCGTCTGTGACAATAAGGCGGGAGAGAGAGTAACACGTGACCAGCTCGGAACACGTGATCAGCCACACAGACACCGACACCGCCCACCCCCCCCCACAGGGTCAGTAATAGAGAGAGAGAAGCCCCCCCTCCCCCCACAGGGTCAGCTATAGAGAGAGAAGCCCCGACTCCCCCCACAGGGTCAGTTACAGAGAGAGAGAAGCCCCCCCCTCCCCCCACAGGGTCAGTTATAGAGAGAGAGAAGCCCCCCCCCCCCACAGGGTCAGCTATAGAGAGAGAGAAGCCCCCCCTCCCCCCACACGGTCAGTTATAGAGAGAGAAGCCACCCCCCCCACCCCACAGGGTCAGCTATAGAGAGAGAAGCCCCGACTCCCCCCATAGGGTCAGTTATAGAGAGAGAGAGAGAGAAGCCCCCCCCCCCCCTACAGGGTCAGCTATAGAGAGAGGAGCGCCCCCCCCCCCCACACAGGGTCAGTTAGAGAGAGAAGCCCCTCCCACAGGATCAGTTGTAGAGAGAGAAGCCCCCCCCCCACTACAAGGTCAGTTATAGAGAGAGGAGCCCCCCCACAGGGCTACACTGGAGAATCAGATTGCACTGTCAGCCCATGACTCCCTGACTCCGAGTGAGGTGAGAGGCTCTGCCGGGGCCAGGCTGACTGACCGATGCCTTACAGTCCAACTCACATCGGCTGTGTGTCCATAGGGACCTTCATATTTACTGTGACTGACGCCAAGTATAAGTTACAGCCGGCAGAATAATAATAATAATAATACTTGTATTTTAGAGCGCCTTATCACACTGTCGAGACCCCTCAAAGCACTTCACAGGATATACCGTAAAGTGAAGTGACTGAGGGTTTTATGGGCGAAACACACATTGAGTGATCGAGTGAGTGATTGAGTGATCACATTACTGTTTATGTATTTATTTTGCAGGGATTGGAAAGTGATCAGCCAATCGATTAACAACCAGGTTCATACTTACTGCTGGGAAAACAGGCGTGTGTGTGGAGTAAAGAAAATTGCCTTGGATTTCGCCCTGGCCGGGAATCAAACTCAGGTCTACTCACTTGTGAGGCAGGCAGGTGCTCTAACTACTGTGGTACAGGACTTCGCAATTGTATATACGTCAGATTTTATACAACTAACACAACATGGTAAACCAGTGAAAGGAGCTATACAAGTTGTTGTTCTTCATTTCTGCAGCAGCTCAGTGAGCAGGGGTGACCGTGCGAGGGAGAGAGAGAGGGGGGAGATGAGGGGAAGGGGGCGATAGAGAGAAGGGAGATGGTGGGAGAGGGAGAGAGAAGGGGGCGTGGTGGGAAAGGGAGAGAGCAAGGGGGGAGATGGGAGATAGAGAGTGGGGAGATGAGGCAAAGGGAAGCTGGAGAAGGGGGGATGAGGCAGGGGGAAGCTGGAGAAGGGGAGATGGGTGAGGGGGACAAAGAGGGTAGTGGGGCGAAGGGGAGAGAGAGTGGAGATAGAAGGAGGGGGAGAGAGGGAAAGAGGGTCGGCAAAGAGGGTCGCACAAGGTATAGACACTTCAGCGACTTCCCTTGCCAGTAACTAAGATGGTGCTTTGATCTTTTCTGGGTGGTAGGATACCAACGATTGTTTATTTTGTTGTTAGCTGAAACGGCAAAACTGCTCTACGAACTGGTGAAAGGTTCAGAGGATGCTGTAAAATCAACCCGGCCAGAGTCGCATACGCAGGCTGTGAAGGCACTTAAGCAGACTGTGATTCAGGCATGTTGTTTGATTTCTCCCAACCCCACCTCTCCTTTTCATCTGGAAGTGGGGCTTCTTCAGAAAGCCTGACTGCCGTGTTCTGCCAGATGGTTAATGACAGATTGACAGCTATTGCTTTCGCCTCCCGAATCCTGACTGACATGGAGAAATCTTTTGATGTCTGCAAGAAACATGTCTTTGCCAGATACTGGGCAGTGAAACAGCATTTGGTGCTGAACTTTCCTCACACCCCACAAAATCTTCCACTTAAACCTGGTGACATTTTGGTATTGTCGCAACAACAGAATCACTGGACTCTACTGTTAATAGAGTGAGACTTGGAGGTGGTGGCACAGAAGACCACGCTCCTACCACAATATAATGAATTATATAGGTGCTCCTCATGAGTGTCCACTGCCTCGAATTCAGTTCCATCACCGATTACTGTGTCCTAAGAGCATCTCTGAGGGGCAGGTGGTGTATATTGTTGGATCATCATTCCACGGTCACGGGAAACCGTACACAGGCTTTGCGGTTCTCATTCACCCTAACGAAGAGGTCTTGTACCAATGCCACCCACATTCAGCACGGTATGCTGAACTTGCGGCCTTTCAAGAAGCCATCATTTGTACCTGTATACTCCTTTGAACATATGGACAAACAGTGCCTATGTCGTAAACACTGTGACATTGCTTCCCCTTTACCAGGCCAAGCATTTCTGCACCAAGGATGGTAAGATCCCTGATCCCCAGGGCACTACTAATGGATTATATGGCAGTCACTCTATGATCTAGAGGCTCCGCTTTTTCCAGGCACGGTCAAAGTCCATGCGAGATTCACTGACCCCCATGCACAAGGGAACTCCGCTGCAGATCGTGTTGCAAAATATACTGCAAGGAAAGCAGAGATGTGGATGCCGACTTCATGTTCATCTGAAACTCCTTCTCAAGTTGCAGCTGTCACTACTCCCGCCTCTATTGACCTGGTGACGCTTCAGATTATATATCCTTCTTACTCGCTGGTAATCGAATGGCATAAGACTGGACAATCCCTTCCACAGCCTACCTCATGAGCCCACGAGGCCATCTTGGCATACTCTGACAAATCATGCCCCTATTCGAAAAAACACGATGATGCCAGTTGTATATATTCCACCATCTCTACGGGAGGAAGTGTTCGCTATTTGTCACTCCCATCCTTTGTCGGGTCATGTTTCAGTCTCCCTTACGCTCCAAAACATCCTGCGCATTATGTGGTAGCCCACGGTGGTGTCGGGTACTGTTGCACGCACTCATCGGTGTTTAGTGTGTTTACAGCGCAATCTGTCATCTACAGGCCAAGATTCTGGCCCACCCCCTCAGGGTCCGTGGACTCACATTGAAATAGACTTTATTGGCCCGCTTCTGCAAGTGTCGGGAGGGGTCTCACCATTGCTTGGTTATTAATGACAAATTTACCAATGGATGGAAGCTTTTCTAGTAACTAACACTGCACTTGTGGCAGCTCGAGTGGTTCTTGCGCGAAGTGATCTGCAAGTGGGGAATACCAATAAAGGCTGACAGTGACCAAGGTTCACACTTTACAGGAAAAGTGTTTGTTCAGATGCAGGTGATGTTAGGAATTAAACAAAAACTACAAATCTCACATAACCCTCAGTCATCAGGGGTAGTAGAAAGAGGGAATCGGACCTTGAAAACAATGCTAAAAAAAAAAATTGTGCAGATCATCCCGCACAAT